TATTTCTCTTTTTGTGACTGACTAATTTCACTCAGCATGATGTCCTCAAGGTTCATCCATGTTATGCTGTGGCTTACAGCTTCCTTGTTGTTTCTTTCACTTTTGAAATGCTTTCTGGTGCAAGTTTTCTTGGTCTTTGTACAATAGTAAATTAGGCCAGTATCTTCAGAGTCCTGGTGTGACATAGTAGGATAAGTTTGAACTGCAAGGCCAGAGGTTCAGACTCACCAGCCACTCCTCAGAAACCCTATATAGACTTGCTATGAGTTGGAATTGACTCAACAGCATTTAACAACAACAACAACAGCATCTTCAGAGAACCATCTGCAATGATTTTCATATCCTGTCCCGAATTGACAGTGGTCCACAGTCTAATGATAACAGAGAATTTTTCTACTTAGAACTGAATATTGGAACGCCTCTGTCATTCTTTTCTTTGTACAATCTTACAGGAACGTCTCATTTTCTATTTGTTTTTTCTGACCTGAAGATCTTAGTGACGCTGAGAACTTTGGCAATTTCACTTTCCAATTCTCCATCCTATTACTTACAAAATGGTAAAATCACATCAGTGATAGCATAGATCCCTAAGGAATCCCACCAGCTATGAAAGTAGAAAAGGGGAAACCCCACACTTACATAATCTGCAGCCTACAAAAGAAATCCCTGGAAAATTAAGGTTTGTTCATGTTCTCAATTAGAAGTCTGGAACTGGAATTTGCTTTGACCAGGTATGTTCCAAAGTGATGAGGGACTTGGCTCTTGGTGAAGAAAGCTATGGCTTGGCCTGAGGTGCATCCTAGTGACTAGCTTATATCCTTTTCTGTTAACATCAGAGACCAGTTTCAATGAGGGGCTGTTTGTGAGAGAATCCTCACTCTTTTATGAAGACTCATACTATTTTGATCCTTAACAAAGACATCCTACCTGAATGTATCTTGGAATTAGCAGAGAAGTGGTATTTTACAAGGTATACATACAGAGTATTTGACAAGATGCCCTGATACACTCAGAAGGTCCTAAGCATTTGCAATACATTCATTGAAAAAGTATGTCGATTTACACGATGTTACTAGGAAATAAAGGAAACAAATATTATGATTGACTTAAGTGTAACCAGCTTTATGCCGATTGTGGGACTCAATTAAAAGATGGTTGACTGTTTAGATTTATCATGTATTAAACACCAAACTGACGAAGAAATAAGTAACAGGTACTTTTATATGTTGCTGGTAAAAGGTGGTATAAATGTAATGGAGGGCAGTATGGTGATACCTTTTAAAATTATAAATCTATATATCTTTTTACCCAGGAATTCTGTCTATAAAATATATATCTGGTAGGCTTACACAGGGTCACTATGAGTCAGAACCGACTCCATAGCATACCGCCATGACCACCATACTTACACATATGCAAACGATGCAAATACAGATTAGCTGTGGTAGCATTATGTGTATAAAACTGGAAATACCTGAATGGCCATAGTGAAGGGACTGACTGGTTAGATAAGTTACATACAAATGTAACAGTGCTGCACAGCCAGGAAAAAAGGACCAGGAATCTTTTTATGTAGTGACATAGAATGATCTTCAAGATAATTGTTCATTGACAGAAATCAAGGTGTAAAGAGTGGACTGTAATATGTGTAAAAATGGAGGCTGAGAGTGCATTGAGAGATTAAATCAAACCATAAGAAATTGCTATCATTGGACTGTTTTTGACCTACAAAAATAACTACCAGTTCTACTTGCCTCAAACTAATATTTGCTTAAAGATACATAAAATGTCTCTGGAAGGGCAGACTTCAAATTAATGATGTTGGTTGGGTTTTGGGATGTGTGTGGAGGGAAGTACAGAACTAAGTGAGGTACTAAGTGGCAGGGATTAGATTTGATACATTGTGAATATTAAATCATAAGAATGCATAGTTGTTAAGTGCTATCCCGTGGGGAATTTGATCCCCTGACCTTGTGGTTCAAACTGGCCTTACTTACTGCTTATCCTACAGTGCCACAACTATTTAAAAAATAAACCACTAAAACTGTGAATGCTTGTAGTTGAAGAATAGCAATTTTTCTTCTTGATACAGAATGAAACTGAGAAATGTCATGTTTCTACACCAAAATAACAAAACATTTTGGTTTAGTTTATTTTCACTTCCACTTTGCCAGAAAATTTGAGAATTATCTTAGGGTATCCTGTCTAAGAAGAAGAAAATACAGATTATCTTGTGTATTTGGAAAAAAGAAAAAAAAATCTAATATTATATATAGAGACCACTTCTTGATAGGTCTTTCTCCTAAGTCTACTAATGTTTTCAAATGTATTTAAAGATGTAACAGTGAAAAGAATGGAATTGTTAAGCCAGATATATTAAAAACAAAATAATGAAATCTCTATTTCTATTCTATATGATATGAGTTGCGGTGGACATGTTGAAAAATATATGCTCCATTGCTTGGTGGAAATGTCAAAGGAGAGAGGGGTATAGTTGCATCAGCCTTTTAATAGGGTTTGGATACAAAATGATGTAAAGTTTTGTGAATTGATACTTTCAAGCTAGGTTTCATGTCTTAGAGATCAGTACTATTCCAAAGAAAGCAACTTATCTCAGCAGGATACTACATAGAAACTCAGGAATATTGTTTTCTCACCCTGTAGCTGAACATAAGGAGTCTTCAGTTTGAGAATACAGCTATATTACTGAATGCTAAAGAATTGTAAATATTTTCTATTTCTTGAAAGAATACACAGAGAAGCAACCCAGGAATTTGCTTGGGGGGATGACTATAGAGAAAAGAACATTCTTATATTTCAAAATTTATACAAATTGAATTTTCCTTGTACAAAATGATTTTTAAATTATTACTGGCTCAAAAATTAGCCTGCACTGTTATAACGTCGTACATAAATGATGTTCTGAAGAGGCACAAATTTAAGGGCTGTCTGCAGTAAGCAAACAAACTTTCTATTGGTTAAATACAGGTACCATAAAGCCTAAGTGATCTGCAGTTTTGCTGTAGTCATGTGTTCACTGAAGAAATATAAGTTCCTACTCCCAAATTAGACCCACTGCTATCAAGTTGATTTTAACTCATAGTGACCCTATTTCCAAGGCTGTAAATTGTGATGGAAGCAGCCTACCACATATTTCTCTCAAGGAATAGCTGGTGGGTTTGGCTGAGGAACCTTTTGGTTTGCAGCAGAGAGCTTTAACCACTGCACCACCAGGGTCCCTACATTCCTACTTGTTGTTGTTGGTAATTGCCATCGAGCGGGTTCTGACCCGGAGGACCCTGTATAGGGTTTCCAAGGAGCAGCTGTGCATAAAACATGGCCACAAGTGTTTGAGTGATCAAAGAAACAGTATGTTCATTTGTTTTGTGTTAATGTAATCATTTCACAGTCTTTGAAAAGTGTAAATCTGCATATCTCATAACTTGTGAGACTGTTCACAGATCTTTCTGTCCAAGTGAGAGCTTGCTATACCTTATACTGCCATGTCTTAGCCCCTACACTGCTTGTGAGTGTAGTTCTTCTGAGATATTCTCTGCTCTGTTACAACCTTATGCTCAGCTTCATTTCATCAGTGGTTCAAACCTACCACTCGATCCTTGGAAACTCTAGACAGGGTCGCTGTGAGTCAGGACCAACTCTATGGCACTGAACAACAACCACTACAATCATTCATTAAAATACTTACAAATGAAGATCAAAGACCACAACCTTCAGTATGAATTTCACCTCAATGTAAAGAAAACAAAAATCCTCACCACTGAACCAATAAATAACATCATGATAAATAGAGAAAAGGTTGAAGTTGTCAAAGACATCATTTTTCTTAAATCCACAATCAACATGCAAGCAACAGTCAAGAAATCAAATGACGTATTACATTAGACAAATCTGCTGTACAAGACCTCTTAAAAGTGTTCAAGAGCAAAGATGTTAGTTTGAGGACTAAGGTGTGCCTGACCATGGTATTTTCAGTAATTTCATATGCCTGTGAAAGTTGGACAATGAATAAGAAAGACTGTAGAAGAACTGGTGTATTTGTATTATGGTGTTGGAGAATAATATTGAAAGTATCATGGACTGCTAGAAGAACAAATAAATCTGTGTTAGAGGAAGTACAGCCAGAATGCTCCTTAGACACCAGGATGATGAGACCTCGCTTCTCATACTTCAGATACGTTATCAGAAGGAAGAAGGACATCATACTTGATGAAGTGGAGGGTCAACCAAAAAGACCAACAAGATAGATTGGCACAGTGGCAGCAGCAATTGGCTCAAGCATAACAACAAGTGTGAGAATCATGCAGGAGTGGACAGTGCTTCATTCTGTTGTACACAGGGTCACTATGAGTCAGAATCAATTTGAGGTCACCTAACAACAACAGTCTTCATTCTTGTAGTAAAATCTCATGGAGTCAAATGTACAAATACTATTTTCCTCATTTAATACTGAGGAATCCAAAACTGTAGGCTACAGATCTACCCAAGTGATGTGACTGGGATTAGAAGCCAGTCCCTGGGATGAATGCAAGGAGAAGGGTGAGAATGTATGGGCTGGGCCATATTGCAGCAACTCTGTGCCCAGGTGAGAAAGATGATCATGCTGTACTTGTCAGGGTTATTGTGTACATACCAGAACTTGTCTAGGAGTCTAAAAATTAAATGAGAGTAAGCATAATTAAGTCCAAGTGGACTTTCCTGTGCAAATGTTACCAAACATTTACTTTCTTTTTACATGGCAGAGGATTTGAAATTGAGCCTATGCAATTTGCCCTACATGAAACACTTAAGCAGTTCAGTTTTCTTGAGTGTGGTAAAGGAATTTTCTTTGGCATCTAATGATAATTTTATAATGTGACTAGTTTATGCCCCATATCTGGAGAAGATTCTGATTTGCAGATCCTGGAGGACTTTGTGGTTTTTTGCTTCTTTGAACTGCTTTGTGTTTGAAAATTCATCCAGGCCTTCTCTTTTATTTCCAGCTCACTAAGTGTGAAAAGACACTTCCTGTGACCAGTATGAAAGCAAATATGGACAATTTGGACACGTACTCCTCAGGTACCACATCTAGCAAACTTCCAGTTGGACACAAGGGGGAACTAGAGAAATCCCCTGAAACTTCAAGCCAAGCAATAGCAACCAAGTTCACTACTAAATCCATTGGCCTGGCTAGAACCAAAAAGAAATGCTAAGATTTCCTCCCACATGGAACAGTACAAGAACAAGGCTGCTCTTTCTAGTGCTAAAATGATGAGATAGGAGGGGGGGAAGGACAGAACTTTGCTGAGCTCTCAGCCTTTTCGCTCTGCTGAGTTCTGTCATATGTTTGCATCCGTTTAAAATTGAAGCTAGTTATCTCAAACAACATGAACCACATATGGTGGTAAAGGACAGCCATCAATGGGCTCATAGTGGGCTGCAGCTGAAGTCAACTCAAGATGTCTACAAGGTTGTTTAAATAGGCATTGCCCTCAAGGCAGTAGGACCAGTTTGGAAGGCTAGGGCATACTTGCTCAGTTTCATTTCACATTCTTATGTTTAGTCACAATTATCTATAGGGGATAATGAAAAGCCAAATATGGTCATGGAGGTTCCAAATAATTATGTGCGCTTTGCACTAGAAGACTTTGTTAGGAAATTGCTTATAAACTTGTCATAGGCATTATAGCAGAAGTATTTCATCATTCACATGTGTTTGTGTGAGTTTAGATTGCTGTGGATTGCTTTAGACAACATTTTTTAAGCATGTATAAATAGGAGATTTTGTAACTACTTGCTATTAACTTTGCTGCTAAATTCCCAATGTATTGACTGAATCAATAAAAGACAGATGTTGTGCGTGCAAGTTGATTTTTACGTTATTAAGATGTGACTATGATACGGTTCTCTAAAGCCTTACAGAAATTATGAACTTGGTCTACTGCTGCAGAGGTAGACACACATCTTTGGGGAAGGTCATGAGGCTGGATGCAGAGGAAAATAATCATTATTCTGACTATTAGAGGTATCTTCTTTACACTTGGGTAAACAGTTTTGTCATTTGAGGTCAGACTGGGTGAATAGTTGATTCCCTTGCCCTCCCAAACAATCTGCAGTAGTTTTATCTTTTCTAAAGTAGTAACTTCATTTCATCCCAACCCCCCATGGAATTGTCAGCTCCAAAATGACCCATACCTGGCCTGTACTGTTGTTGTTATAAGTGCCACAGAGTTGGTTCCGATTCATAGCAACCCTGTGTAGGAGACCCAAGACTGGACATCTTTGCAGGAGCAGAAAGCCTCATTTTTTTCCCGAGGAACAGTTGGTGGGCTCAAACGGCCAGCCTATAAGTAGCAGTCCAGTGCTTATCCTGCAAAGCCACCAGTGCTCCTAAGCATGTACTTGTTACATATACGTTCACTCAGTGGCTAAAAGTAATAGATGTGCTTCTTTCCTTGCATTTGATTTAGGAGAACCTGCTGTGGTCTGAATGGGTCAAAGGGAGCACTGTCATGTGTTGCCTCGACCTTCAACATGCTTCTCTTGGGAGCCTGCTGACCCAAGCACATCTTTTATTTTTAAAACTGGATTGACGATACTTTTCCCAAGTTTTTCACTCTTCCTGATTATTCCTGTCAGTCCCATCAGCTTCTTTGGCTGCCTGCAGGCTATCTCCTGAGCTTTAAGCATTCTCTCAGGATTTAGTGAGCCTGCATTTGAGGGGTGTGCTGGATTCACCTGATGAGAAAGAAGCCTGACCTCATCATCTAAGCAGATGATGGTATTCTCTTCCTTGACAATCCTGCTGAAGACAGAAGTGAAAGCGGCAGTCCTCTCACCTCCAGCAGCCAAGAGCCTTGGGCAAGCAGGACTTAGTAAGAAAGGGAGAGAGTTGGCTGCTGATCGCCTTCAAGAAAAGCAAACTGAGTCAATGACATTGATTTTGCCCATTCCCTGGACCTGAAAAATGAAATATTCCCTACATTCTAGGTTCCCCTTTCACAATGATGTCTGGGGAATTCTTGTTGCTCAATTGAATTCTGTCCACACACCCTGTTTCTCTTTTGTTTTGAGTTAGTGTTTCAGCTCTGTAAGCTTGAGCAGAGGTCTAGAACTAAACAATGAAGTCATTTATGATGCTTTAGTATGTCTGCACATCTTTCCCCTCCCTGACATCAGGCAAGACCAACTGTTGTTCCTACCATGAGACGCATTCTACTAGTTCTCCTCAATCTAGACATTTTTGTTTGTGTAGAATCATTTTGATAGAACTGTTTGCTCTTTCAAGAGAGAATTTCCTTATTATTTGCGTCTGTTATTTCATTGTCTGAAACACACTTGGCAGACCATGTCTGAGCTTCTTTTTCAACGGTGTTCCTCTTTAATGTCTGGGACTATATGGTCTTGCTTTCTCTATTTGTATTCATGGTTGTGGATAAAAGTGGCTCTTCTATTTTAGATTGGCATTCAGCAGGTAGACCAACGCCAAGGCACTGATAATAATCACTCTATGTGGCGCTGCAGGTTAATGCACTGCACTGCAAGGTTGGTTTGAACTGCAAGGTCGGTGGTTCAAGCTCACCAGCCACTCTTCAGAAACCCTATACAGGGTCACTGTGAGTTGGAACAAACTTGACAGCACTTAACAACAACACCAACACCACCACCACCAACAATACCTTCCTGAAGGAGTCTTGGTAACTTCGTCAGCTAAGGTCAGCAATTCGGATCTACCAGCCACTTCACGGGAGAAGATGGGTCTCTGTTCCTTTAAAGATGTATAGCCTCAGAAACCCTAGACAGGGTTGTTATGAGTCAGAATCGACTCAGTGACACTTAACAGTAACAACAACAATACTTCCTACATTCCACGGAGTGGAGAGTTGGGCTTTGATGTGACCAAAAGAGATAATCTCTGTCTAGGAGAGTACAGTACAGAGCAGGTGCTATTTCCAAGGAAAACTAACAATCAACATTCTGACTTCAGCCACAGATAGGTCAAGGCAGGAGGAAAGTGATAAAAAGAGGTAAGTGCAGGCTGGAGGTTGGGAAAAACAGGTGAGCAGACTAGAAGATAAAATCAGAGGTGAATTTAAATTGTAGAAGAAAGGCAGATGGGTTGTGGATGGGGATAAACATAGTCAAAATAAAGTCTACTTGGTAAAGGAAATGGTCATGTTGGCATCGCAAAATATGGTTGTGCCAAACCTGGAAACATGAGTAAGAGGAGAGAATAATCCAGATGAGTCTGAGGTAAAATTAGCCCCTTGCATGGCCTGTACACAAGCCAACCTAGGTTAAAGACACAGGATGAAGAAACAAAGATCTGGGCAAGTGGAAGCTAAGAGCAGCTGTTATTTTAAGGGCTGACTAAAAAATAGTCCTCACATTTTTTAGTAGAACTATTGTGTGGTGTGGGGAGGGGGAAGAATTAAAAAAAAAAAATATATATATATATATATATATATATATATATAACATTTTTGTGCTTATCACTGAACTGGTTTGTTTAAATAATTCTATTTGACTCAAATGTGTAAGTTCCAGGTTAGACAGATCAAAAGCAGCCAGTCTTCAAAATGAAGCTTTTCAAATTCCAGTCCTGCTGTTGGAATACAGAATAAAGGCTTTGTTCAGACATGCATTCCCAGCAGTAAGCAGTGCTTTGAAATTGGCTGGGGAAGTGGTGGCATATAATGGCTGAACTTGGCTGGAAACCAGGAAGCTGTAGCCTTTGGGAAATGACCCCATGCTGGAGGTTTCCCAGCTGACCCTTCAGAACCAGTCTTTGCCCTGCTCTGTCCTCTCTGCTGGGAGAGGCTGACCTTTAGGAACTATGTTACCAGGCTCCCATGGCCTCTGGATTTGTTTGGATTTAGTCCATGTGAGGCATCAACAGGAAAGTAGAGGTGAGAAGAGGCCCAGATGTTGAACTTCTGGGAATTAGCCACGTTCTCCATCTATAGGCCACAGCTTCTGTTGGACAGCCCTCTCTCCTCCTTCAGGCTAAGACCAAGGGCTCTTGTCCTAGGGTGTGGAATCTTCCTCTGGGTTTCTATAACTCCCATCCGTTCCTCCCCACCCCCATTCCTTTATAAATAGTCCCATTGTTAAGCTTTCCATTTGAGTGTACCATCTGTTCCCTGGTGAGGCTCGAAGTGATTACCCTTTCCTTGACAATTCTGAACCTTCTTGACCCAGGCAGTTTTGTCTCTGGTTACCAATTCCTACCACGTAACAGTAAAGTGAAGATCCAAGAGTCTAGATGAGCTCTTCCTGAATATAGAAGCACCTAAACAGTCAGTGACAGGACGTATTCTAGAAGTGGAAGGTGGACCAAGCAACACAAATATAGTATTGCCAAACTGAAATGGAAACCTTGAATTGTCTAGACCCAGGCCGTTTGCATTTAACTTTTTTTCTGAGGGGGAGGAGGGGGACTTAAGAGATTGTTTAATCTAGCAGTCCTCAAATTGCTGATATTTATCAGTACAATCAATATTTTATTCTTTTAGGTTTCTTGATTTGTTTTAACAGATGTTCTTAAAGTAATTCTCTTCTATTTCTAATTTGGTGAGAGCTTATATCATATCATGAAAGCTGTTAAAATGTTGCTAAAAGTTTTTCTGCCTCAGTTACTATTATTTTTATTTTGTTTGTTGATATGGTGAATTACGAATTAATTTTCTAATGCTGAACCAGTCTTTTCTACCTAGAATAAACCCCATTTGCTTATGGGGTATAATTTCTTTTATGTGTTGTTGGATGTAGTTTGCTAACATTTTGCTGAATGTTTACAGCTAAGTTAATGAGAGATAATGGGCTATAGTTTCCTGACTACTTTCTGGATCAGGATAATAACTAAAACCTAACTAGTTGCCGCTGAGTCAATTTCAACTCATGGTGACCTTGTATGTGCCCGAAGGCTTTCAGGAGCTGATGTTTTGAAGTACAGCTCCAGACCTTTCTTCTGAAGTGCTGTTGGCTGAATGTAAACTGTCAATCTTTTGTATAGCAGCAGAGCACGTCAACCATTTGCTCCACACAGATATCCAATCAGGGTCACACTGGCCTTTTCAGATGAATTTGGAAATGCTTCCTCTTCTTCTGTTTTCTGGGTTGATGATCTCATCATCCACACTGAAAGTCATTCATCAGTTCTTCCTCTTCCTCTTTAGCCTCTGAATATCCAGCTTCCCTTCCTCAATGGTGA